GGCCCCCCCCCCCCCCCTGGGGAAGGAAAAGCGGGGGGGGGGGGGAGAATGGTGTCTCCTGGGACTTTTAAGAAGACCGGCTACACCCTTTTTATTTTTCAGAGCGCGCACGACTCTCCCGTGTTTAAGAACAAAAATGTTTTATTCCACAAATGGGACTCTCCTGTGTTTAAGACCAAAAACGTTTCATTCCAGGTATAAGTTTTTGTGGGCAAGGAGACCTCTTCTTCATAGGGAGGGGGAGGGAAAGACCCAGAGAGAGCACGTGTCGCGGGGTGGGTGGGAAGAGAGGGAGTCCCATGGCACCTAATCCAATCATACCTTCTATTGCCATTTGGCATCTGAAATCATCTTTAGAAAGTTTATATCTCCGGTACCTTGTGTTATATTTTATGGCACACATGGCCTAGCCCGACAAAGTCACATTTCTGTCAGATCTGGCCCTTGTAACAAATGAGTTTGACACCTCCACCCTAGCTGGACACTCCCTCTCTCAGCCTAATTCACCTCACAGGGCTGTTGTGAGGACAGAATTAGAAAAGGATATATATTGTGTTCTGAGCTCCTTGGAGAAAGGACAGGATTTAAAAAAATATATTCTAGATATAACCCTCTACCTGCTCCATGAGGGCCATAATACAGAGAATATTAGAAAAGAGCAAGAGTCCAGCAGCACCCTTAAAGACCACCAACATTTGTAGCAGGTATCTGAAGACGCAAAAGCTCCTCCCCTGCCATAAATTGTGTTCTTCTTTAAGGTGCCGCTGGGCTCTTGCTCTTTCCTGCTGCCACAGACAGAATAACACAGCAGCTGCCCATCTCGATCTATTTACAGAGACTATTGTGAGGCTTTCAAATTTATGTGAACCCTCCAAAACGCTATTTTTTGCTGTTGTCTTTTGCCGTCAGGTCACAGCTGACTTACGGCAACCCTGTAGGGTTTTCAAGGCAAGAGATATTCAGAGGTGGCTGGTCATTGTCACGAGTGTTCCCTCTAAGCTGAGTCAGTGTGAGCTAGCTCAGTTTTTTAGCCTCCAACTCACAGATTTCTGTCTTAGCTCAGGAAGGAGGGCTCCAGAGCAAACTTATGCAGTAGCTAAATCGCTCGCTCACAACTTTAATGCCAGTGGCTCACAAAGTAGAATTTTTGCTCACAAGACTCCACAACTTTGAGGGAACATTGGTCACGACCTGGGTATTCCTTGGAGGTCTCCCAGCCAAATACTAGCCAGGGCTGACGAGATTGGGCTAGCCTGGGCCATTGACCCTACCTAGAATATACAATTAATATATATATCTACAGCAGCTAACTTACAATTAATATACTCAGCAATAACCCTCCTGGTATACCCCCAGAAGAGCACTGTGCTCAGGAGACCAGAATCTATTGGTGGTCCCTGGCCCAAGAGATATCAGGTTGTCCTCGACCTGAGCCAGGGCATTTTCCACCCTGGTGGAACTGTCTGCCGAATAACATCCATGCCCTGCGGAGCCCAATGCCTTTCTGCAGGGGCTTGTAAGGCAGAGGTGTTCTGCCAGGTGTTTGGTTTAGGGCAGCAACAGTTTCCATCTGTCTGGCACTCCAACTCCCTGCCTCCCCATGAGGCAATGGCACTACTGGAATTTTTAGCACCACCTTTTAGGCTGATTACTGTGTTCTATTGGTTTTATCCTGTTTTTAATGATAAGAACATAAGAGAAGCCAATGTTGAATCAGGCCAATGGCCCACCCAGTCTAACACTCTCACACAGTGCCCAAAAATACCAGGTGCCATCAGGAGTTCCAGCAGTGGGGCCAGGACACTAGAAGCCTTCCCACTGTTGACCCACCCCCAAGCACCAAGAATACAGAGCACATCACTTGCCCCAGACCGAGAGTCCCTATTTAGAACTTGTGGCTAATAGCCCCTGATGGATCTCTGCTCCATATGCTTATCTAATTCCCTCTTGAAGCTGTTCATGCTCATAGCTGCCACCACCTCCTGTGGCAGTGAATTCGATGTGTTAATCACTCTTTGGGCGAAGAAGTACTTCCTTTTATCCACTCTAACCCGACTCCTCAGCAATTTCATTGAGTGCCCACGAGTTCTTGCATTGTGAGAAAGGGAGAAAAGTTCTTCTTTCTCGACCTGCTCTACCCCCTGCATAATCTTATAAACCTCGATCATGTCACCCCTCAGCTGTCGTTTCTCTAAGCATATACTATATGATCCTGTGTTGTACACCACCCTGAGCCCTGTCCTTTTGGGGGGAGGGCGACTGAAAATCAAATTTGATAATAAATAAATTCACCTGAAAAATAGAAACTATACAAATGATATGAATTTTTAAAACTTAACGGAGATACAGCTACATAGGGACAGTATCTGGGATCCATAAAGATTCTACCAAATTTTGAGTCCTGTGGGGAGTCTATGATTCACATATTCCCCCTCTCTACTATAAATATTTTAAGTGCCTTCATTCTCTTTTATTATTTAATTCATTTGTAAAAAAAACCCCGTTTCTCCCCAATGGAAACCCAAAACGGCTTAAATTGTTCTCTCCTCCATTTTATCCTCACAACAATCCTGTGATGTAGGTAGGGCTGAGTGCGTGACGGGCCCAAGGTCACCCAGCAAGCTTCCATGGCATGAGTTGGGATTCAACCCCAGTTCTTCCAGATTCTAGTCCAAAACTCTTAACCCTCTATACCACACTGACTCTAAAAAAAACTGTCTCTTTACACTTTTTTCAGCATATAAAGTGGAGCCATTTATATATTTCATGAAGCTCTGAAGATACCTTATGTATTGAACCGGTTCCCCAATTCTATTTATTTCATTTTTTAGATTTGTTTCCCATCCTTCCCGCAACACAGGGCTCAGGGTGCATCAATCTATAAAGACTTAACAACACGGTGAACATTTCCATGGCTTCTCCAAGCATTTAAATGCACCCCCATGTTTATGTTCCCCAATGTATATTAAGAGGAAATTTATGGCCCCAATCCTGAGCATTTTTATCATTGCTGCTCAGTAAGGGCTCTTTTATGCCTGTTATGGTGGGCATGCTGATGGCAGTTTTTTCCACACTCTGAACACTCATAAGGTTTCTCCCCAGAGTGGATTCTTTGATGGACAGAGAGAGTCTTTTTAGAATGAAAGTCCCTTCCATATTCTGTGCATCGATATGGTTTCCCTCATCTGTGGATTGTGAGATGGGAAGTGAGGCCTGCTACTTGCCTAAAGGTCTTTCCACAGTGGGAGCACATACACAGTTTCTCTCCTGTGTCGCGCACAGGAAGGCTTCCGCTCTCGGGAAACAGCAGGCATTTAAACACCTTCTTTCCTATGTGGATATGTCGAGGTCTGCCATGCCAAGCAAAGCTCTTTCCACACTCTGAACATTCGTACTGTTTCTCTCCTATGTGGACTGTGAGATGGGAAGTAAGGCATGCTTTCTCCCTGAATCTCTTTTTCACACTCTGAATATGTATATGGCTTCTCTCCAGTGTGGATTCTTTGATGGAAAATGAGGTTCTGCTTATAACTGAAACTCTTCCCAGATTGTGTGCATCAATATGGTTTCTCTCCCATATGAATTCTTTGATGCACCGTGAGGCTTATGCTCTGCATGAAGCTCTTACCACACTCTGAGCATTTATATGTTTTCTCTTTTGTGCTGTCTGATGTTTCCTGAGATCTAATTGGCCAGAAAAGCTCTTTCCACAGTCTGAGCACTTCAATTCTTTGAACCCAGTGTGGATTCTCTGATGCCTGTTCAATTGACTTCTATATCTTAAGCTCTCTCCACACTCTGAGTATTTATATGGTTTCAGTCCCGTGAACCATTTGATGGTTTCAAAGATCTGATTGGTTAGTAAAGGTCTTTCCACACTCCAAGCATTTGTACAGCTTCTCCTCTCTATACGTCCTTTGATGAATAGCAAGGTATGAGCTGCTACTGAAACTCTTTCTGCATTTGGAACATGAATGGGGCTTCTCCCTCGTGTATGTGTTTTTTATGCATAGAAAGGATTGAGCTTCTAGTGAAGCTCTTTCCACACTCCAGACATTTATATGGTTTCTCCCCTGTGTGGGTTTTCTGATGGGAAGTGAGAGTACCCTTCTGACAGAAGCTCTTTCCACACTCTGAGCATTTATATGGTTTTTCCCCAGTATGGATTCTTTCATGGTAAGTAAGGTGCGTGCCTTGAGTGAAGCTCTTTCCACACTCTGCACATTTGTATGGTTTGTCCCCAGTGTGTATTCTCTGATGGGCAGTCAGGCTTGCAATCTGACTGAAGTTCTTTCCACACTGAAAGCATTCATACGGTTTCTCCCCTGTGTGAATTCTTTGATGAGCATACAGTTCTTGGTGATGCTTGAAGCTCTTTCCACACTCTGAACATTCATGTGGTTTCTGTCCCATGTGCACCATTTGATGTCTTCGAAGATTCGATTGGTCAGAAAAGCTCTTTCCACATTCTGAACATTTGTATGGTTTCTCCCCTGTGTGAATTCTTCGATGGCCCGTAAGGTGTACGCCCTGAAAGAAGCTCTTTCCACACTCTGAGCATTTATAAGGCTTCTCCCCTGTGTGAACTCTGTGGTGGGTAGCCAGCTTTGAGCTGCAACTGAAACTCTTTCCACACTCTGAGCATTTATACAGTCTCTCCCCTTTGTGCGTTTTGCAGCGACCACTAAATTCCGATTTGTGCGGTAACGTTTTCTGTCCCATTGGGCAGTCATTCTTTCTCTTCCCTTTGCAGAGTCCTCCTTTGCTTTGGATAATACCATGGACTTCATCCTGACAGAGACTGGATTCATTGCCACAGCTCTCTCGCTGGCTTCCTCCTTGTCTTTTGGTTATCCATTGACTCCCAGAAGTCTCTTCCGTCATCTCCTGGGCATCTCTTCTTGGTGAAACCACATATGGCTCTAGAGAATTCTCCTCATCTGTACCATCACCTGTTGGGAGGGGAAAAGAAGAGATAATCCTCTGGATCATCCCAAGGAGAAACCAAATGCCTGATCAGGGATGAAGCCCTAGTTAGGGAGTGTGTCTCTGAATAACAGTTGTTGACGTCAGTAACAGGAGAAGGCTGTGGCCTCTGTCTGTTTGTTCGTTTTATAAATTCAATTTTTAGACCGCCCTCCTCCAACGCTCCCTCTAAGCTGTGGAATCTTGCAAGCAAAAATTCTACTTTGTGAGCTACTGGCATTAAAGTTGTGAGCAAGCGATTTGGCTGCTGCATCAATTAGTTTGCTCTGGAGCCCTCCTTCCTGAGCGGAGACAAAAATGTGTGAGCCGGAGGCTAAAAATACTGTGAGCTAGCTCACACTCACTCAGCTTAGAGGGAACACTGCCCTCCTCCAGTACTTGGGGCTCAGGGTGGTATACGACATTTAAATAGAATTAAAAACATTAAAACAATATAATAATTCCAAAGGCACCCGGAAACCAATTATTTTTACCTCAAGGGGGGAGTGGACAGAAAAAAAAGAGGCCAGGCTGATTAAGACCATTCATTTAAAAAACGTCGCTGTCCTCAACCATTAGCCTGGTGGAACATCTCTGCCTTACAAGTCCTGCGGAACTGAACTAGGTTCCGCAGGGCATGGGTGTTATTTGGCAGAGTTCCACCAGAACAGCGCCAGGGCTGAAAAAGCCCTGGCTTCGGTTGAGGACAGCCGGATCTCTCTTGGGCCAGAGACCTCCTGCTCTCCAGGGGACATACCAGGCGGACATTCTCTGTTCTCCTTTTGTGGGTTTTCTGCATGCAAACAATGGTGACCCAGTAGACATTATATACTTGGAGTTTCAAAAGGCTTTTGACAAGGTACTATTGAGATATATGTCTAGGTGATAGAGGTAGCAAGCAGTTACTAGATCAGTTTGATCTGTTTGACAGTCCTAGCTGTCATGCTAGTGATTAAGTGATTACAGCCAGGTGTTATACTAGCAGGTGCTCTCTATCAGGCATTGTTAGAGTTGGTAATTAATTCACCTTGTTAGTGATTGGCTGGGTTTAGTATATTAGCTATCAGCTTGATAAGCTAGGTGGGGACTTAGTCTCTCAAAGCTAAGGCATGGTATAGGATAGCCTGTATATCTCTGTGTATATATTCACCATTATATCTATATAAACTTTCTATGCACCTTCATCACCAGTTGGTCTCCAGCTTCTTATTTACTACACCCAATAGGTACCTCACCACCAGAGACTCCTGCATAAACTTAACACTCATGAGATAAGAGGATGGATTCTCTTATGGATTAAAAACTGGTTAAATGACAGGAAGCAAAGAACAGGAATCAATGGACAGTTCTCACAAGGGAGGGAAGTAAACAATGGGGTCCCACAAGGATCGGAATTGGGGCTGGTACTATTTAATTTATTCATCAGTGATCTGGAACTAAGGGTGAACAGTGTAGTGGCTAGGTTTGCAGATGACACCAAATCATTCAGGATAGTAAAAACCAAGGCTGACTGTGAAGAGCTCCAAGAGGACCTCCAAAAACTGGGTGAAAGAGGGACAACGTGGCAAGTGAAGTTCAGTGTGGATAAGTATAAGGTGATGCACATTGGGACAAAAAAATTCCAGCTTCAAGTCTATACTAATGGTGTCTGAACTTGCTGAGAAGGAGAAGGAAAAGATCTTGGGGTTGTAGTGGATAGCTTAATGGGAGTGTCAACCCAATGTGCTGCAGTGGTGAAAAAGGAAAACGCTGTGTTAGGGGTTATCAGGAAAGGGATTGAGAATAAAGACCAATATTGTAATAACCCTGTACAGATCTATGGTGTGGCCTCAAATCGAATACTGTGTACCATTCTGGTCACCATATCTCAAAAAGGACATTGCGGAGCTTCAAAAAGTACAGAGGAGGGCAACCCAAAGGATGAGAGTTTGGAACACCTTTCCTACTAGGAAAAGCTGAAGAGTCTGGGACTTTCCAGTTTAGAAAAGACACGACTGAGGGGGGGACATGATAGAGAAGAAGAAGAAGAAGAGATTGGATTTATACTCCGCCCTTCACTACCCAAAGGAGTCTCAGAGCAGCTTACAAACTCCTTCCCCTTCCCCTCCCCACAACAGACACCCTGTGAGGTGGGTGGAGCTGAGAGAGCTCTGACAGAAACTGCTCTTTTTCAAGGACAGCTGTGCCAGAGCTTGTGACTGACCCAAGGTCATCCAGCCAGGTGCAAGTAGAGGAGTGGGGAATCAAACCCAGTTCTCCCAGATTAGATTCCGCGCACTTAATTAATAACCAAACATGGGATGGGGAGAGATGACAAAGATAAATTTTTCTCCCTCTTCCAAAATTCCAAAAAATCTAATGAAGCTGATGGGCGGTAGATTCAGGACAGACAAAAGGAAACATTACTTTACACAGAGAGATTAAAATGTGGAATTTGCTGCCAGAGGATGTAGTGATGGCCACAGGGATAAACAACTTTCAAAGGGGGTTACACAGATTCATGGAGGATAAGTCTATCGGTGGCTACTAGCCATAGTGACTGAGGGGAAGCTCCACATTCAGAGGCACTAAGCCTCTGAATACCAGAGCCAGGAGGCAACACCAGGTGAACGCCTCAGCCTCTGTGCCCTGTTGTTGGCCCTGCAGAAGAACTCGTTGGCCCCCGTGTGAGACAGGATGCTGGACTAGATGGACTATTGGTCTGATCCAGCACATCATCTTATGTGCTTTGCACTGAGCTTGACCATATACCTCATGAAACATCTCTATCTTGCAGGCCCTGCAGTATTGTTTCAGGTCCCACAGGGCCCTGGTCTCACTAGACGGATAGTTCCACCAGATTGGGGCCAGAGCTGAAAAGGCCCTGTACCTGGTCAAGGATAGCTGGATTCTCTCAGGCCAGGGATCACTAGCCGGTTGTCATTGGCTGAGTGTTATGCTCTTTGGGGGACATACCAAGAGAGGCAGTCCCACAGATATGCTAGTCCCAGACCGTTTAGGGTTTTAAACCACCGCAGCTCCTATTTAAAGGTCTGTACTAAAAGGTCTGTACAGCTGCGGTGGCTCAAGTGGTTAAGACGCTGAACTGCAGGCTCTGGAAGGTCGGTAGTTCAGCAGTTCGAGACCCAAGTATGCCGCATGATGGAGTGAGCTCCCATCTCTAGTTCCAGCTCCTGCCAACCTAGCAGTTCGAAAGCAAGAAATTGCAAGTAGATAAATAGGTACCACTTTGGTGGGAAGGTCACAGCGTTCCGTGCGCCTTGGTGTTTAGTCATACCGGCCACATGACCACAGAAACGTCTTCGGACAGCGCTGGCTCTTCGGCTTGGAAATGGAGATGAGCACCGCAACCCTAGAGTCGGATTCGACTGGCTTTCGAGCAAGGGAACCTTTACCTTTACTAAAATATTAAACCAGATTCGGTACTCAACTGGAAGCCAGTGCAGCTGGCAGTGCACTGGTCGAATATGTGCTCTCAATGGGTTACCCATGAGGACCTGCACAGCTGCATTCTGGACCAGCTGCAGTTTCCAGATCAGCCTTAAGAGAAGCCCTGTGTAGAGCCAATGCTCCCTTCGTCAGATACTAGTGGGAATAAAGGTACCTAACTGACAAATGGAGCTTTGACCCTCGATAGCTTATACCTCCAAAATCCCGTTGGCCTCTAAAGTGCTATTGGACTTGAACACAACGTTGGAAGGGGCCTTATGGGTCACCCTGCCAGTCCACTGATCAAGGCAGGGAATTCAGAGCCTTCCCAACAGATGACTGTCGAAACTGCCCGAGAAATTCATCAGGCTCCTAAGCGATCCCTGCGATCCCAAACACATACCTGCCGATCTCCTCCCTTCTTCCAGGTCCTGGACAGGCGGATCCATTCTTCCAGATGGCTCACCAGGTCAGCTTTGGGAACATCTTGCAAGCAAACAAATGAGCCGTGAGTTACGACAACAGAGTACTCGAGCATTGCCCATCGACGCCCCATCCTGAAAAGCATGCAAAGTCTCTTCATTTCTGCATTTCAAGGGGATTCCCCATGTCATCTTGTGGACCCTTATAGGAACCACGCATGAAGCTGCCGTATTCTGAAACAGACCCATCAAGGTCAGTATTGTCTGCTCTGACAGGCATCAGCTCTCCAGATGTCTCAGGCGGAAGTCTTTCGCATCACCTCCCACCTGATCTTTTTAACTGGGGAGGCTGGGGATTGGATTGGACCTGGAACCTCCTGCGTGCAAAGCGGGTATTCCACCACTGAGCTATAAGAACATAAGAGAAGCCAACGTTGGATCAGGCCAATGGCCCATCCAGTCCAACACTCTGCGTCACACAGTGGCCAAAACCCAGGATCCCAGAACAGGGGTCACTGGTGGTGGGGGGGGGAGGGATCTGTGAATTTCCTGCATTGTGCAGAGGGTTGGACTAGATGACCCAGGAGGTCCCTTCCAACTCTATGATCCTAGGAGCTCCACCAGCTGGGCTAGAACTCCAGAAACCCTCCCACTGTGCCCCCCCCCCAAGCACCAAGAAGACAGAGCATCACTTGCCCCAGACAGTGTGTTCCATCTAGACCAGTGGTGGCAAACCTATGGCACGGCTGACAGAGGTGGCACTCAGAGCCCTCTCTGTGGGCACGCGTGCCATCGCCCCAGCCATGCCCAGACCATCATTAAAGTGTCGAATTCTCTGCAAAACAATTTTAAGTACATGAAAGAATTTGGGATTGCTTTCCTTACTTTGTTTGGATCATCTTAAGTTAATGTAGGAGTTGTTTTTTCTAAAGTAAAACCTCAGTATTCAGGTTAAATTGCCGTGTTGGCACTTTGCGATAAATTAGTGGGTTTTGGGTCGCAGTTTGGGCACTCGGTCTCTAAAAGGTTTGCCATCACTGATCTAGACCTTGTGGCTAATAGCCACTGTTGGACCACTGCTC